TGCGGCCCCGTAGCGCCCTGCCCCGCCTGCTGCTGCCGCTGCTGCTGTTGCCCGCCGCGGGGCCGGCCCAGTTCCACGGGGAGAAGGGCATCTCCATCCCGGATCACGGCTTCTGCCAGCCCATCTCCATTCCGCTGTGCACGGACATCGCCTACAACCAGACCATCATGCCTAACCTTCTGGGTCACACGAACCAGGAGGACGCGGGTTTGGAAGTGCATCAGTTCTATCCGCTGGTGAAGGTGCAGTGCTCGCCCGAACTGCGTTTCTTCCTGTGCTCCATGTACGCGCCCGTGTGCACGGTGCTGGAGCAGGCCATCCCGCCGTGCCGCTCCATCTGCGAGCGCGCGCGCCAGGGCTGCGAGGCGCTCATGAACAAGTTCGGCTTCCAGTGGCCCGAGCGCCTGCGCTGCGAGCATTTCCCGCGCCACGGGGCCGAGCAGATCTGCGTGGGCCAGAATCACTCGGAGGACGGAGCGCCCGCGCTGCTCACCACCGCGCCTCCGCCGGGACTGCACCCCGGCGCCGGGGGCACCCCGGGCGGCCCTGGCGGGGGCGGCGCCCCGCCACGCTACGCCACGCTGGAGCACCCCTTCCACTGCCCGCGGGTCCTCAAGGTGCCTTCCTATCTCAGCTACAAGTTTCTGGGCGAGCGCGATTGTGCGGCGCCCTGCGAACCCTCCAGGCCCGATGGCTCCATGTTCTTCTCGCAGGAGGAGACGCGTTTCGCCCGTCTCTGGATCCTCACCTGGTCCGTGCTGTGCTGCGCCTCCACCTTCTTCACCGTCACCACGTATTTGGTGGACATGCAGCGCTTCCGATACCCGGAGCGGCCTATCATCTTCCTGTCTGGCTGCTACACCATGGTGTCGGTGGCCTACATCGCCGGCTTCGTGCTGCAGGAGCGCGTGGTTTGCAACGAGCGTTTCTCCGAGGACGGGTACCGCACCGTGGTGCAGGGCACCAAGAAGGAGGGCTGCACCATCCTCTTCATGATGCTCTATTTCTTCAGCATGGCCAGCTCCATCTGGTGGGTCATCCTGTCGCTCACCTGGTTCCTGGCAGCGGGCATGAAGTGGGGCCACGAGGCGATCGAGGCCAATTCGCAATACTTCCACCTAGCCGCCTGGGCCGTGCCGGCCGTCAAGACCATCACCATTTTGGCCATGGGCCAGATCGACGGCGACCTGCTGAGCGGCGTGTGCTTCGTGGGCCTCAACAGCCTGGACCCGCTGCGGGGCTTCGTGCTGGCGCCCCTCTTCGTGTACCTGTTCATCGGTACGTCCTTCCTCCTGGCGGGTTTCGTGTCTCTCTTCCGCATCCGCACCATCATGAAACACGACGGGACCAAGACGGAGAAGTTGGAGCGGCTCATGGTGCGCATCGGCGTCTTCTCGGTGCTCTACACGGTGCCCGCCACCATCGTCATAGCCTGCTACTTCTACGAGCAGGCCTTCCGCGAGCACTGGGAGCGCTCGTGGGTGAGCCAGCACTGTAAGAGCCTGGCCATTCCGTGCCCGGCGCATTACACACCGCGCATGTCGCCCGACTTCACCGTCTACATGATCAAATACCTCATGACCCTCATCGTGGGCATCACGTCGGGTTTCTGGATCTGGTCCGGCAAGACGCTGCACTCGTGGAGGAAGTTCTACACGCGTCTCACCAACAGCCGGCATGGCGAGACCACGGTGTGAAGAGGGACTCCGGGCGGGGCGCTCCCTGGCTAGGCTGGCACGGACTGGGCTTTCTTCTATCCGAGGGAGGGTCCTTGCGGACTCCTATTTTATTTTTTTAAAATAAAGAACAATCTAAACCATTTCTTTTTTTTTTTAAGGTTTGCTTTTTTTTTTAAAGGAGAATTCTGCCCAACACTCCACCAGGTTTGTAATTAAAAGTGTATATAGTCTTTGTAAATTTAATTATATATTTTCTATTTAAAAGGAAAAGGAAAAAAAAAAAAGCACTGAGGGCGCCTAGGCTACAGAATGGGTGGGTGTGGAGGAGGGGAAGGCCTCTCCTTTCCTAACTACCCTTTTAGAAGCCGCCCTGTACTCTTGTTCCGTGTGTGTGTGTGTGTGAGATTTGGCAGGGCTGGGCCTGCGGGGAGAGGCACCTAAGCCTGCACGATGTTTTTGTTGGCTGCGGAGAATTGGGAGTTAGTTCCATTCAACTTCTATGAAAGTCAAAATTTGCAAACATCCCTGCTGATGCTGGGCCTGTGGAAGCTGTTGAATATTTTCGAACAGGACTTGGACTCGTTTTGCTTCATTTTATGTCCCTTTCCTCCCTTCTCTCTTCATCTGACCTTGATATTTGGAGACCTCCCAGCCAAGATGAAGACGTGGAATAACGCATACCCCAGAGAGGTGGGGGGAGAGAGCGGAGATGGATAAGGAATGCTATTCCCCACACGCCCCCCAACCCCAAGCCAGGAAGAGCTGTCTTGGACTTTCTTCTTGTTCCCACCCGACCACCCCAACTGCTTAAGATAGGCATAAAAAGAAAAGCTTTGTGAAGTATGTTTTGTCCCCACCCCCACCTGAGTACCTCGCCTGTCCGCTGGAATTTGCGGGGAGGGGATCATTAGCATTTGAACATATATTTACTAATTCTGGGGTTTTGAGATCTTGCATCTTACCGTGTCTCATTGGGGTCTGCTTTGTGGTAATGAGAAGTCGCTGGCACTCAGGTTATGGGCTTGCCAGTTTCTGTGTTATGTGTGGGTTTTTGTTATTTGGGTTTTCTTTTCTCCTCCCCCCCCCCAAAAAAAAGCAATGGGCCGGGTTGGAGGGAGGGGGATGAATGGGCTGATGGATTCTTCTTTTTCTTTCGACAAAGACTAATTTTTTAAAAAAAAACTTGTGGGGGGGAGGGGGAGAAAGAAAGAAAGGAAGGTGCTATCTTTGCTTTAGGAGGCTCTGGGCAGACTCTTTGTGGCTGTGGGGTGGGGTCGAGTGTTTAGAGGACATTCTATATCTCCAGACTGATAGAAGGTTTATAACAGATGTTTCTTATCTTTCCCCTCTCCCCCTCCCCGAATAAAAGTTAAGACTTTTAAGGCAGTTAGCTGCCTGAGAGGTGATGTATAAAGTATCTTTGCTGGTATGAGAACTCCTGTTTCCAACAAACATCAGTTTCCTCTATTTGGAATATTTTGGATTTTTAATCCAACAGATTGATCTGAAGACAAGTGTGCCTCATAATTTGATTCTCACCATCTCCCGTGTCTTGATAATAGTGCAAATTAAAAGCTAATAATCATAATAATAAAGTGCATTTAATTACCTTCAAGAGATCTAGCCCTTTAATTGTATTTAATGGGGTTGTAACATTTTATTAGTTTAACCAAACCACACCTCCTCTTGCCCCTCACCTACTTGGTTGTGGGTGTGGAGAATGAGCTCCCAAACCAAGATCCTTAATAAAATGAATTAACATTTTTAGCATTTAACAAAAGGATTCTGGGGAGAATGATGCCTTATTGTCCTTTGTTGGCTGACTTTGACAAGGGAGAAAGTAAGTTGGAACCCTACTTGGAAGTGTTTGTGTATGTTTATGTTGGGGGAGGGGAAGTGGAAATATTTGGTGGTAATTGAAGTCATATGTTGGGCTTTGTTTGGAGTTGTATGAAGTGTAGGCATTTCATCAGAGTCCCCCCCCAAAAAATACATAATCTCCCTCTCCCCAAATCATTTGTACCAGTGGGTAGTTAACAATTCTGTCTCAACATGAAATTTCATTCCTATCAAAGCGAATTCAGAGGGAAATGTCACCATTCCCATAGCTCATTTGTCTCCAATCTTAAGGGAACCCCATAAGGGCTGCAAGAAAGAGTTAAATTACACACAAATTTTGAGTACTTTTCCAGTCAATAAAGGTAAAAATCTTGAGGGAATCAGGTGGGATTTTCCAATGCATGGGATTGGGGTGGGGGTTGAGGGAATGGTGCTGGTCTCTTGAGGATTTGGGGAGATCCTCTCCCAGGATGTTGACTCTGGTTGGGGGACATTTGTCCCTGCACCGGAGCATGGATGTCTTTAAGAGATGATGGACTGGTGACAATTACCTTTTCCTTTCCTGAGCTGGGGTAGAAGAGAGGAAAAATTCCTACCTCTCCTCCGACCTCAAGGTTTCCTGCCAGTATGGGGGAACAGGGCCTGAGGAAGTGGACAAAATGGTTTTATGACTGGAGAAGAGAGATGTGATAATTGCCTCCTTGGAAACATCAGATCGTAGGATGACTTTCCCCTTGTGTAAGGAGTGACCTGCCCAGTGGCTGGATTACCTTACCGGAAGTAGTGGAGGAGCCCGCCTCCCATCCCCCTCCTATTTCTTTGGAAATTACTCTTAGAGCAAGGAAGAGCTTTAGATCCTAGGACTTTAGGCTAGAGGGGAGAAAGGGCTTTGGTGGCAGCCCCAAAAGTTAAACCATCTAAACTCAGTGCTTAGGAGATTCCATCTCCATTCTATGATCTGGAAAACCCAGTTAAAATCCTGGGCCTGGAGATCTGCCCTTGCCAAGTTCCATGTTGCAAGTGGATGGTCTTTCTAGAAGACTTTTGAGACTGTGTTTGGTGGTGGATAAGTGCAGAGAAGGAAATCCCCTCACCTAGGGCCACAGGTACCCTCTCCCAGTTCTAGGATGTCAGCATTCTATAGGTAGTAAGGATAAAGCTCTGTTTGAGCTGACTTGTTCTTGAGACTTGCTCTTCTTCCCTCAGCCCTACCCTAGCTTTCCTTCCTGCAAACATTTCCATTATTACAAACTGTCTTTTATGAGGATCGTGTAATAGTGTCAAAAAGACCACTCAAGTTTTCCAAGACACAGATAGGTACTGATAGCTCATGCCTGTGATCTTAGCTATTCAAGAGGCTGAGGTTTGAAGATCACTGTTAAAAGCCAGCCCAGGCTGAAAGTCTATGAGGCTCTTAACTCCAATTAACCAGGGGGGGAAAAAAAAAGTGGAGCTGTAGCTCAAATGGTAGAATGCCAGTCTTAAGCAGGAAAAAGCCAAATGAATTGCAGGAGGCCTAGAGTTCAAGCCCCAGACTGGCACACACAAAGTTTTCCAAGATAGGTTCTTTTGTCTATCCCTAAAGAATGAGAATCTAGCCTGGTGCTGGTGACTCATGCTTATAATCCTAGCTACTCAGAAGGCCGAAATGTCAGAAGTAGAGTAGAGGCTCAAGTGCTAGCCTTGAGCAAAAAAGCTGAGGGACAGCACCCAGGCCCTGAGTTCAAACCCCAGACCAGCAAAAAAAAAAAAAAAAAGAAAAGAAAGGAAGGAAGGAAGAAAAAAAATCTACTTATGGGACCTGTAGCTGCTGACTCCTGGGTTATTCTAAAAATCTCTCCAAGAAGGTGTTGGAGCCTGTGCTCTGAGTGGGGTTTTGGAGGATTTGCTATCACCAGTGTGGGTTATGTCTGGGAAGTCTGAGGACCTACCAGGCCCAAGCTCTTGCCACTTCAAGTCACTTCTTCAGGTTTGCTTATTACTGGAGATGTATCCCTCTAGCTTTCGTTCCTCCCCTCCCCGCGCCACCACCCCCCCAACCCCGCCCTCTCTAATCTTGAACTTCTTAGGAGTCACTGGCCTTCTGAAAATCTGAAGAATTTTTGGACCTCCTGGGAAAAATGGCCACACACAAAACAATTTTGCATGTAAATTTAGGAGGCTTCTGGACTATCTGGGTGGGCCATCTCTACCACCATCTTACCTCACCCCCCCCCCAGTCTCCACCACCTCTGCTGCCCAAAGGGGAAACCATTGGACCAACAAAAACCAGCAGTGCACCAAAGCCTGATGAGCCACTTGATGGATTCTGCCCCTTTAGGGTAACATTATCAAGATGGAAGTGAATGTGCAATATGTTGTGTGACTGACCATATAAGAGAGGCATGCCCAATCAGCTTGTAATCTTAAGAGCACTTGTGCAAGGGTCCTATTCTCAGCCCAGTGTCATCACAGATGACAAGTACCTGTTAGGTAAGACTGTCATGTGGGCTAAACTGGTGATGCAAAGACAGATCTAGCAGAGTAGACAATGAATAACATGGAGACCTTTTCCTATTCAGAATTCAGAAAAGTAGGGGTTGGGAAGGTGGCTCAGTGGTCGTGTGCTTGCCTTGCATGCTTGAGGCCCTGGATTCGATTTCTCAGCACCACATAAGCAGAAAAAGCCAGAAGTGGTGCTGTGGCTCAAGTGGTAGAGCACTAGCCTTGAGCTGAAGAGCTGAGGGACAGCGCCCAGGCCCAGAGTTCAGGCCCCACGACTGACAAAAAAAAAAAAAAATCAGAAAAGTAGAATTATTGGTAAAAGGATACACACTTTTGCCAATTCCGGGGCTTGAAGTCAGGGCCTGGGTGCCTGCCATCCCTTAGCCTGTTTGCTCAAGGCTGGTGCTCTACTACTTGCATCACAGTTTCTACTTGCAGCCTTTTGGTGATTAATTGGAGTGAAGAGTCTCATGGACTTTCCAGATTGGGCTGGCTTTGAACAGTGATCCTCAAATCTCAGCATCCTGAGTAGCTAGGATTACAGGCATGAACCTTGGGTACCTGACCTGGTGTGCTTGTTGAAGGCTTTGTAATTTTTTTTTTTCCAGTTGTGGTGTTGGGCCTGAACTCTGGGCCTGGGCGCTGTCCCTCAGCTCTTCAGCTCAAGGCTAGTGCTCTACCATTTGCGCCACAGCGCCACTCTGGCTTTTTCTGCTTATGTGGTACTCAGGAGTGGAACGCAGGGCCTCAAGCATGCAAGGCAATCACTTTACCACTGAGCCACTTTTCCAGCCTCTTTGTAATCT